AAGAGTGAAGTAATGGAATCGAATATTTGATATATTATATTAAAATAGCATCATGATTTGATATCAAGCACCGTTCACGAATTACCAAATTTCTGTACCGACATGATGTGACATGATAACGTGGCAAACTGTCAACGGAAAGGATTGCGACTTGTTCCTTTGCTCGATCTTTTACCATCATATTAACATTCCGTCGTTAGATAAATCAACTTCTCAAAACGGTCAGGGACCGTTTAAACACGCATGCAAACACAAAAAGCCATTACCGGCAATAAAACGACCCACGCAACCTGCGTCGGCCTGAGTTGCAGTCGGTACCGGAGTCGGCCGGGCGCGCTATCAGTTATTTACACAGAGAATGAACCCGCGATAAGATAGCCCGATACCTAGCGAGACGAAACCCGTGCCCGATCCCATTGGCTTCACGATACGTTTATCCGGCGAATAATAACTGTGCCCGTTTCGTATTCACGCAAAATGCAACGTTGCAAAGCATAACGTTATATTTCGGGTCGTTTTTAAATTTATATAATTTAAATGATTGGCTGAGCAGGGACAAATAAGGTCGAACGGGACTTTGCAATGTTCTCACCTAAATTATGGTGATCTAAGTTATAATCGCTTAAATGTCGTGGTCTTTACAAAAATAGTAAATAAAAGGGTGATTTGTATGTCATCATTTATTTAGATTCGTTACTATTTGTAACTAAGTAAATCCAGATTTAAAAAAAATTATTGATACATCGATATTATTCAAAAATTTTAAGTAATACATGTAATATCATAAAATTAATGTATCACCGTAAAAAATTATCCACATTTAGGATTTGTAAGAAAAAGAAAGTTCATACATAATGTAACATTGGATTAATCAGAACAAAAACCAGTCGACTCTATGGCCGTCGATATTCCGAGCCGTCACATGGCGCGTCGTGGAACGATTGTATTGGATACGGCGACATATACATCTTGATATTTTAACGTTATTATTATTATTATAAAAATATAATTCGTTTTTTCAATTACTTTTACTGAACTGATAATAAATTCATTACTTAATGGACAAAACTAACGGTATCATAAGTGAGACATCTAATTACTATAAATAAGTTGAGAATTACAAACATCCCACAAATGTAACTTTGTACTTACGTAATAAAATATAACATACCATATTTATAAATCTTTATTTCACTTATTATTCCAAAAGAAAGAATCCAATTAAGAATGTTTATAGTAATTATTTTATGGTGAATATATTAAAATTTCACTACATTTACTTTTTTACATATTAGTTTTACATGCGATAAAGAATATTTATATTTCTTTTCTATAGCAAAAACCTTAATATCATGGGAAAATTTAAAAAAACCGAAAGAAATAACCACAAATATCAAGACAACAAGGGTGAACAGCAGAAATCCCATAATGTACTACAAAATTATTCTGCGGGCCGTGCATAGCAAATGCACGGTTATCGCATTGCGTTAAAGTACATTTTAGCTCTGGCGGGCATTTCGACGTGTGGTACAAGCGGTGAGAAGTTGTATACTCAATTACAATCTCGGGTGATTTTTCTGGAACGAATATCGGGTGCGATAGAGGAACGTAATTAATAGACGATAAGCTTGTCACGTCCATGATATAATCGACCCGCGTTGGTTAACAATAAGGGTAGCCATAAATTTGAGCATCTAAAGGTTATGTATAACGTAGTAAAATTGAATTGATACACCTTTGTAATCTATTTGCTTTATTATTTTATATAATATGTAAATAATATTTCAGCACAGAACAAAATATATGATTTATAAATACATTATTGAACGTTGCTTAATATTTACCACATATACGTTTTTGTATCAACGTTCCACTAAAATAAGTTACTCCCAAAAGGTGACAGGTGATGAGGGTCACCATTCAAACCATACTTTAACAGTTGAGAAATCAAGGTATTATGAAGCCAAACAGCAAATTTCAATATCGCTACCGCTTATGGGAACATATCCGCCGCCGCTGGCATCTCGCGCTGCGCTCGGCTCGTAATTTCACCCATGAAATAGTCGGTATTACCAAATAGGGATTAGAAAGGGACGGTGCGACCTGTGTAGGCCGGCGCAAAAGAGACGGCGAATCGAGCGCTCAACTCGCGACGCTCTCGATTTTTGAGGTTTGTGTAAAACTTTGTATCGCTAAGCGAAGATCGCGGATTTGTCTGTCGAGACGTTTAATAAAAATACGATGCAACATCAATTAAGATTAATAAAATGTGTATAAAAATATAAGAATAAAGCCGGTGTGTGTTAAATTATGAATAAAATGTCTTAACTGGTATCTACATTTCGCGTAATAGGAAATATAAAAGATTTATAAAAACAAAACAACTCAATTTGTTCGTTTTGAAGGTCAATATAATATAATTAAACATTTAATACTGTGAATACTAATGCATATCTTAATTGCACACATATAACTATTAAGAAATAGTTAAACATATCCAGCCGACCAGTTTATTGGCACTGTTAATTACATCTAAATTAAAACAAGTATTTCTGCTGATAGATACATAATAAAACTCCCCAATCATGTCATCGTATGGAAGGCGTAAAATTAACATAATACATACATACATGCAAGATTAAGCATCGTTTTACTGAAGTATTTATAACTATAATTTTTATTTCTTTTATTTTTTGTTAAATTTAGTTTTCTTTGTAAAGTGTGTCCTTTATTATGGTAATGATTTTTCTAAGCAAACAAGACAAGTCCTATAACTTATATACCGTTATTTCTTTCCATTACTGCATAACTAACACTGTAAATAATAGAAGGTCTATGACTATAAATTGAACATTTATTTTTATCGAACATTTTTGACGACCCGCCGGGCATAGTGATAGTGAACCCCTCTTGCGCCAGCGCCAGAGGGTGTGGATTCAATCCCCACCACTGGAAAAATATAATGCTTTTCTAGTGTCTTGGGTGTTTATACAGCGTGTCTTTACCATCGCGACAATAAATGAACACACATATAGAGGATAACCTTTTAAAATTGTATTAAACATTTACATTCTTTAAACATCAATATTTACCGAGTTATCAAATTTTCCAAAACAATGAATTTTAGAACAGCCTTACGTATAAAACTTTAATGTAAAGTTCATTTGTAAAGGTCACAAAGCATACGAATGGGTTGAATGATTTTAAAAGAGACAAAACATACTGTTAGATGGAGAGGCTTGTAATGCGACGCTGTGGCGCGAGTTGTATAGGATGTTACAAATTTATTTTAACTTAATTTGTTTGTTTGAAAAATATTTATTTTAATTATGGATTTTTTTAACGTTAATATTTTTTTATGATTATTGGAAATTATCATTAGACCTGTGTTTATTTATTGTCGCGGTGGTAAAGACACGCTGTATATCTATAATACAAAAAGTATGTTTAAGTATGTCTATTAGTTACCTAGTATCCATAGTGCAAGTTTCGTTTAGTTTGGCACTGAACAACGTTGTGTACATAATTATTATGTCCTTAGATAAATATTTATTTATTTTTATAATCCCTTGTTTTTCAACTAATTTGAGGTGGTTCCTTGATGTTTTTATTTAAATTATATTTGTTCAATGTTTTTCATAAAAAAAACAAAAAACAAACAAAAATTATATTTGTCACCTCACAACTAGGTCATTTAGAAATATGTGTTTATTTTTTTATTCCGTTGTTTTTCGACTGACTTCAAAAAAGGAGGTAGTTGTCTGATGTTTTTTTAATTATATATGTCATCTAACAACTCATTTATTCTTATTTCCTTTCATATCGAATTTTAAAATTCTTATTTTTTTATGGGGGAATGTGGCAAGCGAGCTAACGGTTCACCTCCGCCCATGGACATTTGCAACACCCGTATGGTTGCACATACGTTGCCACCTTTTAATAAAGTGGGCCCCGGCTACCTCACTCACCAGACGAAACGCAGAAGTGTAACACTTCTACTTCACGCCGGTCTTCTGCGAGGTCGTGGTGCTTACCCGGACGGACCTGCCGATTCGTGCAACAGCCGAAGCTGTTGAGTGGTTTCGCATTGGATTCGTATTAGCTATGCGATCTCATATAATTCGCTACTATTAGTCCTTTTACACCGGGAATCGAACTAGGGTTGCTCGAGCACCTACACCCGTGCACAGGCACTGAGCCATAGGGGCTTTCTGTATGAGCAGACGAACTAGCTTATGTCCGCGACCTTGCCCCTGTTTAAATGATATCAGAGTTAGAATAAAACCTTAAATGTCGTATATTCTTAACAAATATTTACTTTTACAGCCGTATCTTCCGAACCTTACGTGATATCTGAACGTAACGAACAAAAAACTTTAAGTTGAAATACCAGTTTCATACCTTAAAACACTGATTAAAATTCGTCGAGTCGCTTTACAGCCAGTACGACACAAACTTTAGACGGACGGACAGAGAAAAATCTAGAAAAGATCTATCATGATTAGTATAGTCCTTGCTATAATATTATAAACACGGACACAACTTTGTACGTTTGTTACTCTTTCACGCAAAAACTACTGAATGGATTTTTATGAAACCTTACAATAATATAACTTATACATCAAAATAAGACATAGGCTATAATTTATAAAGATAACAAGGGTGTCCCAAAGTAACTCTGTCTATCTGTTACGCATTCACAACTAAACCGCAGAACCAATTTTGATGAATTTTTAGTATAAAGATAGATAGGACCTTGGAGTTTAGTATAAAGATAGATGAAGAAGAAAATAAACTTGTTTTTTTTATTTGTTAATTAAAAACATTGCCCTTACTTTAGGATAACATTATCCTGTGTTGTAAGGACGTTTTACATACATAAATTTCACGCGGACAAACGCCCAGATGAAAAAAAATAAACCTAAAAGTGTACACAAGATTATTTCATACGTAGCTTAAAAGACTAGACTCGTCACAAGATCTAAAATCGGTCTACTCACCTCGCCGTGCTGGCAGCGGCCGTCGGGCGTGTTCTCCGGCAGGAAGTAAAGCCTCAGGCTGACCAGGGTCTGGTCGGAGACCCTGTCCGTCCACAGCAGTTGCAGTTCACCTGTGAGAAACAATCGATTCTTCAGACATGCAAGCTCCACGATGATCTCGAAGGCAGAGTAAAAGTTTCGGCTGTCACGAATAGGCAAACTCCTCCGGGGAAGTCCCTACCGGAAGATCAAGGAAGTAGTGAAAGGGAGTGGCATGATTATGCGTTTCGTCAGGTGTGGTACCCGGGGACCATTTGGCATTTTGTGTGAAAGGGTTGGCTATCGCAATAAGCACTGCGACCTAGAATGATCTATTATAGTCCTCCCTTCGAAAACGTCCCGTAGAAACTTCCATTCGTAACGAATATTCGATAGTTTGCAGACCGCCACCGGTCATTTGGGTCCGGTTACGATTTCCGGACAATAACGACCCGAGGATCCTCAAGAAGGGAGACTATCTATCCTCAGCATTCAAGACCACCTCAAATCCAGACTATAGAGGAGTTTATCGGTGGTAGGACCACGCAGCAGCCTCGGCTGTTGCACGAATGGGCAGGCTCGTCCGGGTAAGTACCACGACCTCACAGAAGACCGGCGTAAAGTGGAAGTATAATACTTTCGCGTTTCCTCTGGTGGGTACCACTAAGCTAAACGGCTGATAGCCACACCGACGAGCCAAGCATTGCTTCAAATGCTAAAAACCAATGTAGATAAAAGACGTTAAGATTTTCGTCGGTGTGGTTATCAGCCCTTTAGCTTAGAGGTTAAAGCGTCAGGCCGCGAATGCCGAAGACGTGGGTTCGATTCCCACAGCGGCGACAATCTTTTCGTACTTTTTCTACATATTTTAAAATCGCAATGACTAATTACTTATACTCATCAGTGCAACCCTCTTCCACTGGAGTCTCGATGGCAATTTTTTTGTACTCATCAGAGGAACCACCTCCCACTAGGGTCTCGATGGCAAATCGGTCACCAGAGGAACTCCTCCGTCCCCTTCCTACTCACCGATCGACACCAGCTCCGAGTCCTGCCATATCCTCACGAAGAAGAAGTCCCCGATCGCGACGATCCTCTCCCGCTTGCCGGTGAGCCTGATCGCCTTGTAGAAGGTGTACTGGCCGTGCTGGCCGCACGGTGCGCCCACCAGCTGGTAGAAGAGAAGGACGAATTAGCATTTTCAGAAGGAGAATATATTTTCAGGACACATTTTTACACAACATTCTCTAGTCCAAAATTTTCCAGTTGTGGGGATTGAACACACACCCTCTGGCTCAGGAAGCAGGTACACTACCAGCTACACCATTCGGGTCGTTAATATGAATTAAATCTAAAGTTAATAAGTGGCGTAAATTTGTCTCTTTGTTAAGATTATTTATTTGTGCCATTTGCTATTGAAACTTCGGGTCCGTGGGGTCCCCGTACATCGAAATTTTATAGGTTTACGTACTAGGCTTAACGCCGCGGCTGGTCACAAGAGGGCTGGTTCTTTTCTCGCCCAAAGAAGGAAATGCAGCTAACGTTCTTGGCACCATGCCGCGTGAACTAGGTTTATTAGATACTAGCTTTTCGCCCGCGGCTGCGCTCGCATTGAAGCCCTTAGATAATTAAGTTTCTATAAAAAATAAAGATATTTTCAATCCTTTACAACACTTGTTGTCCAAATAAATATAGCCTATGTCCTTTCTCAGGCTCTAGACTCCTAAAATCGGTTCAGTAGTTTTGGCGTGAAAGCGAAACAGACAGAGTTACTTTCGCATTTATAATATTACTATGGATTATGTAATTTAGTTACATTTAATGTCGAAAATATAGGATAAACAAATTTCTCATTTAGATCAAAGTACGAGTAATTATATCTAAGGTGAACATGACAGCGACTACTAAAGACATAATAGAACTTAAGATCTGTAGGCACTTAATTAAAAATGTCACTTTTGTTAGTCCCTTGGAGCTGTAAATATTAATCGTCATCGAGAAGGAGTAACAGATGTTACTTCTGAAATCGATACGCGTTCCAGTTTGAGACGATAATAGGTTTGTTATCAAAGAGGTCAGAATAGTAGAGTTAAAGGTAAATTTAGTTGTATATTTTTAGGTATTTATTTTTCGAAAGAACTTAACTTCGCGATTAAGGACAAGACACCGGTACTTTCTTAAGACCTTTCGGAGAGGAAATGGCGCTAGCGTTGTTGGCTCCTTGCCCCGGGAAGCGGACTGATTAGATAGCTTGTTAATTGGTTTACCTTCGAAAAACGCACTTTTGAGGTCAAATTAGTGACTCACGCCCGGTTTCTGAAACACCGATCATCGTAGATGTCAACTAATCAGCTGTCAAATGGCTTTTCAAATTGCATTTTAGTTGACAAAAGGATGGATAATCTCTCTGAATTGACCAGAATTATTTTCTTGGTGATCAGAGTGATCGATTCAAAGAGACTAACTCATATATTCAAAATACCATCCTTTTGGCAACTCAAATGATATTTGAAAAGGTATTAGGGCAGGGTCTTAATTCGTATTTCCGTGTTTCGTCTGGACAGCGATTTAACTGGTGCTTTTTAAAAGTTATCCACTCAAATAAAAAACCCTCGGGTTTTGTTACGTATGTACCTGTATGGCGACGGTAATCACTTCACATTACGTGAACCGCCCGCTAGCTAGAAAGGTTTTCACATGGAAATAAACAAACGCAATAGAAAAAAAAAACTGTGACAGGGCCACGCAGCAGCCTCGGCTGTTGCACGAATGGGCGGGCTCGTCCGGGTGAGTACCGCGACCTCACAGAAGACCGGCGTCAAGTGGAAGTATAATACTTTCGCGTTTCGTCCGGCGACTGAGGTGGGCGGAGCCCAATTTTCAAAAGGTTGTCAACGCATCTGCAACCCTCGGGTGTAGCGGATGCCCATCGGCGGCGGTATTCACTTCACATCACAAATAAAACGAAGGGAATATCAGACAAAAATCAGTGTCACATCGAACGTGCCCGCGCCAAGTAAAGCGGCCGAATCGGAAAGTGATTAAAACGCCAGCAGACGGTGCCGCGACGGTAGATTGCAATTAGCCGTGGAACACTCACGGAATTGAAATTATGCGTCGAGCCCGTTCGAACGGAAAATCGATATGAATTAATGAACGGAACGGTAAAAAGAAAAAAGTATCAGCCTTTACATGTCCCACAGCTGGGCAAAGGCCTCCTCGGTACAGAGGGTATCAGTGCGTAGTCCACCACGCGGCCCCACTGCGGATTGGGGACTTCACATACCTTCGAAATATATTTTTTTGTTATTATTTCGAAAATATGCAGGTTTCCTCACGATGTTTTCCTTCACCGCTGAGCACGTGATAATTCAGCACTTAAATTGAAAATTTCATTGTCCGTCTGTCCAGAAAAACATAATAATCATATTATGACATATTCCTTGCGCAGTCGCCATGGCATCGGCTTCGGCGTCAAGGGGCTCGATTCCCACACGGGACAACTGTAGTCTCACAGATAATTGACCCAAATGGCGTAGTGGGTTGTGTACCTCCCTCCTGCGCCAGAGGGGGTGGGTTCGATCCCCACTACTGGAAAAATATTGTGTGATGAACATAGTGTTCTTGTAGTGTCTGGGTGTTTATATATGTATAATATATATTTATTTAGAAAAAGAAAAGTACGTTTAAGTATGTTTATCAGTTATCTATTACCCATAGTACAAGCATTGCTTAGTTTGGGACTAGAGAACGTTGTGTAAAAATGTGTCCTAAGATATTTATTTCATTGTTTCGGATCCGTGCCTTTGCCTACACGAAATTTATACAGCGTGTCGTTTCCATCGCGACAATAAATGAACACACGTCTAACGGTACTTGCCAATAATCATAAAAAAATATTAACGTTAAACAAAATCCATAATTAAAAAGAAATATTTTTTAAACAAACAAATTAAGTAAAAAATTTGTAACATTCTATACAATTCGCATCACAGCGTCGCATTCAATTACCTCTCCTTCTAACAGTATGTTTTGTCTCTTTTAAATTCATTCAACCTATTCATATGCTTTGTGACCTTTACAAATGAACTTTACGTTACACTTTTATATGTAAGGGTGTTCTAAAATTGTTTGTTTTGGATTATTTAATAACTCGGTAAATATTGATGTTTAAAGAATGAAAATGTTTAATACAATTTTAAAAAGTTATCCTCTATATGTGTGTTCATTTATTGTCGCGGTGGTAACGACACGCTGTACAATAATTTTAAAACGTCCATACAAATCAGGATAATGTTATCCTACAGTAAGGATAATGTTTTTAAGAACTATAACAAAAACAAAACATAATTACAGACAAAACTGAACAAAAATGCACATCCATCGATGTCAACCTCAAAAGAGTTCAAATAAAGAATTAACGTTCGCGGAAAAAGGCCACCAACAACATTCTCTTTTCAAAAATTAAAAAAAAAAACCTTTTTTTTCTAATTCTCCTAATTAATTCTTCAAAAGCGTTCGAAACGCGGGGAGCTTCCGGTCGCGGGTTTCCGAATCGATTAGTGTAAAATTGAAGCGAGCCCCGGCGGCGGATTAGGCGCCGCGCCAGAGCGGGACGGCGATAGTTCCACGGGCCCTTTACGGACTCGCGTGACGACAGCGACACGACGAAGAAATCGCGACGTGTAAACACTTCCCTTTCGCATTATTAATACAAATATCTTTATTCAAAATAGGAGCATTACAATCACTTATTGATTTTCAAAGTACTACTACCGGTTCAGAATAGAAAGGACACTGCGTGAGAAGAACCGGCGAAAGAAACTCAGCGGGGCAATTTTTTTTAACACTATTGAAAACGTGTTTACAATATATTAAATTGTGTTTATACATATTTCAAAGAAAAAGAAAGGCCGCAGAGTTTCCTGCCGGTTTTTCTCTGGACAGATCTAGTTTAGCGAACCGGTGGTAGTTATTGACGTTAAATTAGAACTTAAAATAAGCTGATACCGAATGAAGAAATTTTGACATTGAATTATTCTCCTTTCTCCTGCCCTTGCGCCGAGCGAATCATGTTGTAAATGGCTGGGGTTTTTCGACGTATATTACGTCATAAAAATAAAACATATTTTACATCAACCCAGATGGGGATTGAACACCCAGATTCGTAACAATGATCTGTCGATCGCACTAATGCTTTTCCCGAGTAGGAATCGAACAAACGACCCGCGACGACGAAGACAATATCTTAGCAACTGCCCTAGCTAATCACAAATGTACGTTAGTTTAAAATGCATATTTTCAATTCAAATAATTGTAAGCTGTGAAATCGGCAACACCTTCATATAAACCATTACTATTTTATTTGTTTTAGTAAAGAACACAGTTACTGCTTAGTTCATACCCTAAGATAAGTTTGAGGCTTGTTCTATGATAATTACATTTTGTTTAATTTTAATTAACGGAAGTATTTGAGTAAAGCCCCCTTAAGTAATGTTTAATATCCCGTACTAAATAACAGAAATATCGAACGCTAACGCTAAGAAAACACAATGCTGCCTTATTGCGGCTACATATGACCGGTAACATGTGCCAATCTCTTCAGATATTTAAAATGAAAAGAGTACCTACTTACCAAAATTTTCTATATTCAATATCAAAAAGATGGACCCATTTTTGTCGTGGATACTCTAGTCGTGATTAAAGTACATCACAAATTATATAATATTATATTATATTTTCAGGCCCGTCTACGACTTCACAGAAGACCGGAGTAAAGTGGAAGTATGACAAATACTTTCGCGTTTCGTCTGGTGAGTGAGCTGGCCGGAGCCCAATTTTCAAAAGGTTGTCAACGCATCTGTAACCCTCGGGTGTGGATGATGTCCATGGGCGGCGGTATTCACTTACCATCAGGTGAGCCGTCTGCTCGTTTGGCAACTTTTCACATAAAAACAAAAATTACATCAATAAAAATTATAAATTCAGAGACTATATGATTTATCGCATTTATTTCATTTGTATAAATAAAAAGTTGCCATAATTTAGATGAAGTCTCATGCTCCTCGCGTGTGACATTCGGCGGAAGTTATTTTGTGAATGCGACGGAAGTTTGTAACAGGAAGTAGCGCCATCTATTACTTACACAATGGACTGTGGCGGTATTAAGTG